GGAATGCCTCTTGATACATAGAAAATTTAGCGCACTAGGGGCTTCGTGAAGAAGATAAACCATCCGGCAGCACAAGGACTTAAAAAGTTTGAGATACTGAAATACAGGACTGGAAGAGTAGTGCTGGGGCAGCAGTGAGGAGATGGAAGTGAACAGAGGAAGAAATGACCAAGAGAGATGGAAACTCACTCTTAGTTGCAACCGCTGCTGAAGACTGCATACGTTCCATTGAGTCCAGAGGAAGAGCTTTTTCTATGGAGCCAAAACCCCTGGGCAGGTGTGTCCTAGGTAAGCCTCTTGGAAATGTGTTACTGCTCCACAATGGCCTGGGGAGAGTCTACCAGCAGGTGATGAGGTAACCCCAGCTCCTAGCAACTGCTCAGAATGCTGCGGCAGGTGGGTTCTGAGGCCTTCCGCTGCCAGCACCACACCAGCAAGACCAGCACACAGAAGTCTGGCACTGGGCAGAGGATGTGTCTGTATCCAGTGCGTTGTCTCAGTCCAGAGGAGTAATTCAATTTAGGCTGCATGTCCATATCACAGCTCTTTCAGAGGCCCCAAAACCTCCTGGAGAACCTGCAGCCAGTGGTGTCCCTCCCACATGGCATCTTTAGGCATGTACTCATGTCCTGATAAACCTGGGAAAGATTAAACAACTGACCACACAGCCGGCAAGGTACGAAGACTGGATTCTGTCACTATTTCTGATTTCGTATGTGCCTGTATTTCAAAAGCCAATGAAAACCATATCTTCTCTCTGTGTACCCTCTCCACTCCTCCTTCCTTTCTTTCTTTTTCCATGAAGCTGAGCTATTTGGAGACAAACTCATTTTGAGGCAGACTTTTACACAATGCTTGTATTAAAAGCTATTTGAATACCACTTAAAGCCATTTTATAGGATAGTTGCAGATGATTCTTGGAAATAACTTTTTTTCAAGGCTGCCGGATTCCCATTGTTAGTACAATATAATTTTTAAATCTCTTAAATAAAAAATCAATTGTCCCATTTCTTCCACGCACCAATTGTTCCCTGTTTAAAGGGAATAATTTCAGCTGTTTTTCATCAAAAGTCTTACTATTTTCTCCACCCTTAAGAAAATGTGTCAATAATAGGCAATTTCAGTAGAACCTAAGTGCAGCTCTTGTCCTCCAAATAATAAGTCCTCCTGATTGCTGTTGAACACTTTAAGATTACTAATATCTCTGTTTTGTTTGTATAGTCTCCCATCCACATAAAAGACTTATATAAAAATAAACAGCACAGACATATGCCTGCTTGGCTTCCTGATATATTCCATATAGACCAGTTATGCTGCTCTGGAAAAAAACAGGTGGGTATTGGGTATTCACTGTTAGAAGGAAAAAAAAATATGTATTCTTCAAATCCCTGTAGATGTAGGGGCTGGTAGACTGATTTAGTTCAGAATGCCAGGATCGAAGGCACAGAGTTCTTGTGGCCCAGCCTGGGCTGGTTTCCCACATTTGGTGCGTTTTTCCATTTATTGGCTACAGATTCCCCCACGCCTCAGTATAGCTGAATCCATGGAAAAGCGTCATCAAAAATCACTGTATTGGGGTGAGTTTTCTAGTCAAGATTAATTAGGCTTTCTTCCAAACACACAGCACGGACAGCAACACAACGTTGGGGTTTTGTGGTGCTCCACAGTCGGGGAATGTCTGGAGAAGACTCCAGGAACCAGTCCCTCAGCTTCCCCTGTTTTTACCATTGGTACAGAAGCAGTTCTGAAATTTAGGCTAATGCCCAACGCTTCAAAGGGACGGAGAGTGATAGTGACTACTGACACACCAGTTTTTTGGGTTTTTTTGTGGTGAAGGTATATCTATGATCGTTCCTCAGCCCTCTTCACCCAGCGCTGACCAAGCTGCTCGTTCGGTCTCTGTGCCTCATGTTTCCCTCAGGGAAAGGCAGACCCCGCCGGCGGG